CACACTCCAATGAAGAATGGACCGTGAAGCAGTGGAGACAAGTCACAACATCAATAATGCACGGGTCCAGGAACTGCTAATGAAGGTACCGTGCGGGGGCTCGAGAAGCTAAGAAGCTTTGCAAAGGAGACGAGAGCCTTGAAGACGAGGAGTAGCTGCTGGCCGGGAAGTTGACAATGACCAACTGGGAGCGGTCCTCAGAGCGGATCTCTCACTACACGAGAAGCTGCCGAAGAATTCAGTGCTGGCCTCGTGGCATTGGGAGAAAAGGGGAAATGAACAAGCCCCATAAGTGGGTGTCTCATGAACTGACCGAAAATTAAAAAAAAAAAAAAGTCGTTTCAAAGCGTCGTCTTCTCTTATTCTACACAAAAGCAATGAACCATTTCTTGATCGGATTGTGACGCATGATGAAAAGCAGATTTTACAGAACAACCAGCAACACCCAGCTCAGTGGTGAACCCAAGAACCAGCTCCAAAGCACTTTCCAAAGGCAAACTTGTGCCTAAAAAAAGGCCGTGGTTGCTGTCTGGTGGGGTCCAAGCCCCTAGAGCTTCCTGCATCCCGGGGGAACCATTCCCTCTGAGAAGTGTGCTTGGCCATCGGTGAGATGCACCGGAACCAGCGATGCCAGCAGCCGGCATGGGGCCACAGGAAGGCCCAGCTCTTCTCCACAGCACCCCACTTCCACAGGTGGGGGTGAATTGGGCTATGAAGTTGTGTCTCATCGACCATGTTCGCCTGACCTCTAGCCAACCATCTACCACTTCTTCAAACGTCTGGACAGCCAATTGTGGGAAAAATGCTTCCACGACCAGTGAGATGCAGGAGACACTTTGCAAGAGTTCGTAGAATTCTGAAGCATGGATTTTTACACTACAGGAATGAACAAACTTATTTCTCATTAACAAAAATCTCAGAACCAGCAGTTGGTGTAATGGCTATGTCGCTGGACTCTCATGTAGTTGACCGCGGTTCGAGTCCCAGACCCGGTGGCTTAAACTCACTCCGGGCACGTGTGTGTGTGCATGCCCAAGATCCCGAGAGGAGAATGGAGGAGAAGGGATTGCGGCATGGCCATCCCCCCAGGGGGTGATTTCTCGCTTTCTGTCTTTCTGTCTCTCTCTGTCTTACTGGCGAGTGCAATCGCTCTATAGCAAAAACCTCTCCCCCAAAAATGTATTGATTGTAACGGTTCCTGCTGGGTTAATAAAGAAGTGTTCAAGCCTAGTTATAATGAGTTACAATTCATGGTCCAAAGCCACAACTGCTTTTGCACCAGCATGACAGCTTGCCTCCCCTAGTGACTGCATTCTTTTTACTGAGGATTCGACTTTACGTTCGGGCAGAGTTTCCATTGATTTCTAAAGGGTGAGAGCTTCAGTTCAGGGATTAAACCCTTCAGTCTTTGGGAAGTTACTCGTTGGAGTCCGGTGGAAGTCGCAGGTCTAGCGGGAGCGGCGGCTGCAGAAGTAGGTGGAGCTGACGCTGGGGAAGTTTGCCACGGCAGCCACGGCTTTTTTGAGCAAGGTCCTGGCTCCATGTTCTTGAGGCTCCTTTGTGTCTTGGATGGCTTAGGGTCCAGCTGTCCCAAGAACCCACAGTAGGGAAGACAGCTGCTGTTTGAGCCACAAGGAAACTACCGTTCTGATTAAGGCTCAGGACTCCCAGGCTCGCTTGGGCCTGGTCTCTTTCACCACCTTCCAAGACCCTGGCAACTGGTCTTCAAGAACCCACATAAGCTTTTGAAAGCAATTTCAATTAGAAATGACATCAGATCTAAATCGAGATCTGAGGACAGCAATCCTTCCAGTTCACCAATTATGTGGCTATTGGCAAAAGGTGGATGCGATCCATTTAATAAGATGGCGTAGCCAAAGAATCGTGATGACTCTGGGAGGGCCTCACCCAGGGAACAGCAGAGCACACTCTGGGGACAGTGGCACCTTCCCGGGGGCCAGGAGTGCCAGGGCATCTGGGTGGAGCAGTTTGTGCTCGGGGGCTTTGGGCGACATTTCTCATTTACGAGGTGACCCTGAGCATGGAACCTTTTAATTAGTCCACAGATCTCACCCGCTCTGTGTGGGTGACTGTCAGTTTCTTTGCCTTTTGCTGCCCTCCGTTGCCATGACAACACTCTCCTAACAATGGATTTATGGGACAGCAGGGAGAGAGGCAGAGAGGAGGGTGGCCTGGTGCCAGCTCTCAGCCACAGAGTAGATAGTCATGATAAGACCAGAGGTTAAACGTGGATTCTGGTGGGTTTCTAGTTGCATTACTCCATTCTGGAGGGGATAAAAGGAGCTTGTTCATCTTAAGGCTAAAACATGAAGCCAAAGTACGGGTCTGAAAAATATCCTGGGAGTGACTTCACCTCCCTGGAATAACATCAACTCTTCCCACAGCGGTGGGGAGCACAGAGGACAGCCTTCCCTAACAGGTGATAATTACTAGCCCACAGGACTAGCAGGTGGCACAATGGCTATGTCGCTGGACTTCCGTGTAGTCGACCGTGGTTCAAGTTCTGTACCTGGTGGCTTAAACTCACGGTGGGTGCATGTGCGTGCGTGCCCAAGATCTTGAGAGGAGAATGGAGGAGAAGGGATTGCAGCGTGGCCATTCCCCCTGGGGGGGTGATTTCTCGCTCTCTGTCTCTCTGTCTCTCTGGTGAATGCATGTGTCCTATAGCCAAAAACCTATAAAAAACATGTAAAAAAGAACATTACCTAGCCCAACCCATTTTCTTAGTAGCACTGGGTCATAAGGGACTCTGATTAGCGGCCTGGGCTCCAGAAACACGTGCCCGATGGTCCTCTGAGTGGCGTCGACCTCTCTGGTCCTGTCCTCATGTCCATGACTCCCTGAGAGCGTGGTTCCAGGCGAGCAGTTCCGAGGGCTGAAGCTGTGTCTTTGCGAAGCGCTGTCTTTCCGAGGCACCGTTGATATCCAGGTGTCCGTCCTCCAGGCGGTTCTGGAAGGGGAGACATGGGTGCTGGCCACAGGCTTTCATCCAGGGCCGGAGCCCGGGAGGTCGCTCCACAGCCTGGCTGCTAAAGACACCACTCTCCCTGCCCCGCTCTCATTTCTCCCTCTGTCACTGGCTCAGCTGTGCCCAGGGTGTGCACCCCACCGGGGCCAGTTTCTATGCAGACGAGCCTCTCCCTGCTGCAGTGTTTGGTCTTGGGTTCCCACTGGCCTCTCAGGTGCCGGTGGTCACTGCTGGTATGGCCCCCACACACAGTGGTCTCAGTCCGAGGGGACCACAAATTGCCAAATGAGCCCTTCAATCCTCACAGAAAGTGAGGGTCACCCCATAGTAACGGGGCTCCTTCAAGACAGAGGGGATGCTTACCACGTCGGCCGTGGAGTATTTCATTAAGTGTTAAATAACTGTTGTAATTACATTACCTGCAGCTTACTTGATTATTTAATTCAGCCTGTCGAGGGATTAATTACTATTTAATCGATGCTGTCATTTAGCGGGCAGGCATAATCACAGAGGTTCTGTGCCGATAATGACACACTACCTTTGTTTTCTCGATCCGATACGGTCTCCCAGCTGGCGGCCACACTCCCTCAGCGCTGCGGAGCCTCTACATGCAGCTGCGTGTGGACAGGGCTGGGGGAGCACCCACAGGGAGCTTCTCTCTCCAGAACACTGGGGACACTGCTCATCTTGGTGACATCTCAGCAGTGTCGCTGGGCCCGGGACAGGAGCGTCTCCCACAATGGATGCCACAGTTGAAGCTCTCACTGGTCAAGTCTGCAGGAGGCAGAAAACCAAAGCTAGATCTCGAAGTTTCCCATGGGTCTGTATTTCTTGGAGGGGAGGGTTGATAAAATTAAAAACAAAACAAAACAAAAAGCACACTTTTTTTTTTTTTAAGAGAGTTTTGCTATAGGGTGTGAGTGCTTGCTGGAAACACAGAGAGGAATAGAATGTGAGAAGGTAAGAAACCCTTCCCCAGGGGGAGGATGACCACATCACAATCCTCTCTCCTCCATTCTCCTCTCAGGATTTTGGGCACACGTGTACACGCTCCTTATGTGAGTTTCAAGCTGCTGGGTCCAGGACTCGAACCACCGTTGACCATGTGGAAGTCCAGTGTGTTAACTACTACACCACCTGCTGATCATTGTTTCCTCCACCGAAAACAACAACAACAACAACAAAAGACTTCTGATCTGCAAAGACACGGGCAAGAGAACAAGAAGACAAGCCATAGACTTTTTTGCAAGACACATCTGCTAAAGGACTATTACACAAAAATATGAAAAGAACTCTTAAACCTCAACAATAAGAAAATGAATAATCCACTAAAAATGGACCGAGGAGATCAGACGCTGCATCCAGAAGCTATTCCTAAGCAAGCACGTGGGAAGGTGCCCCCATCAGGTGCCCTCAGGGCGCTGAATGTTCAATGGCACCAAGGCACTGCCCCATCTACCAGCTTGACCGAATCCTGAACGCCAATGGCCCGAGTGCCGGTGAGGACTCCCAGCACCAGGAACTCTCACTCACCACTGTGGGAGCAAAGTGGTGCGGTCTTTATGGAAGAAGCGTGCAGTTTCTTACAAACTGAACATCTTACTGTGTGATCAGTAGTCACGCTCTTTGGTATTTACCCTAAGGAGTTGAAAATGTATGTATGTCCACACGAAATCTGCACATGGATATTTATAAGAACTTTAGCCCAAACTGGAGGCAACCGAGTTGCCCTCCAGTAGCTGAATAGATGAACTGCAGTACTTCCAGAAAGTGGGCCATTATTCGGTGCTAAAAAAATGAGCTCTCAATCCATGAGCAGACAGGGATGTCTGCTGAGTGAAATGCATGTCGCTGAGTGAAAGAAGCCAGTCTGAAAGGCTATGGCAGTGTGATTCCAACTCCGTGACATTTTGGAAAAGGCAAAACTATCGGGACTGTAAAAAGATCAGTGATTGCCAGGGTTTTGGAAGGAGGGAGGGTGAATAGGTGTAACAGAGTTTCTAAGGCACTGAAACTACTTCGTACGATATTAAAATGGTGAATGTAGGCATTACGCATCTGTCCAAACCCATAGAACACACACACACACACGCACACACACTCTCAGGGCTAAAGTCACATCATTGAACAAACTACAATGGACACTTCAAGATTACTGGAGAATTGTCATCTTTAACAAGGTAGAGCTGAGTGTCTGTGGCTTTTTCCATAAAGCTGACCAAGGCTCTGACTAACTGCACCAAGTGGACGTGTACATAGGTGAGACCTGAACTGGGCAGCCAATGCTTTCTATCTCTTTGCAAGGCTCCTGGAAGAGTTAGAATTCTGGCAGAATGCTCTGGCTGGATGGTGACAGGGTTCTCAAGAGTGTGCAGGTTCTTACTGGGCAGCAGCATTTTGAAGAAAGAAAACCCAGCATCTCTACCCCTGAATACGAGTGTACCTTCCTGCCTCGTGTCTGTGAAATTGTCTCTGCGGGAGGGCATGGTTTCTCCTCAGGCCGGCATAAGCAGTTGAAGTTAACCCAAGAGACATCCAGGAACTACCTGGGATGACTATTCTGTACAAAGACGTCAACTGCACTCCCTTTGCAGCATCCTCAGTTAACTTCATGTATCACTGCCTCATAAGTGCCAGGGTATTTTGAATTTTTACAACCTCATGAGAAAGTATCATTTTCACTCCCTTTGAAGTGAGGAAGTAAGTCGCAGAGAGGTGGGGGGACGTCCTAAGGTCCCACATGCGGTAAGCGCTGAAGAAGAGGGTAGGGCAACGCTCTTGGTTCTTTCTGGGTTCTCTGCAAGTTTCCTCCGCATTGCTGTTCAGCATGAGCCAGGTTCAGCTCTGCCCCCCCAGATTCCTTAAGCTGCCTGGCGGGTTTCATTGATGATTGTCAAAAATAAAATTGGGTCAACTTAAATGTAAATGTTTGTCCTGCTTAGCAAAGGACAGTTTGAGAGCAGAGACCTCAAACCAGAAGTGCTGAGAGGAAGCTCAGAGGTGCAACATGGCAGGCTGGCTGGCAGAGCCTTCACAACGGGGGCTATTTCAGTGGTGTTTGCAGACAGCAGATGATGGGTTTAAAATGATTACCTAATACTGTGTTTGGAAGGAAACAGTTTATGATTATCAAAGGTATTTGTATGAAATAACCAAAGTTTGACTTGCATAGCCTAACTGGTTGTGTCTGCTCACAGGATTTTCAAACATGGTCCTTATTTAATTTTTTAAAATTATTCTATTTAACTTTAATTATTTATTTATTTTTAATTTGACTAGAGAGGGACAGAGCAAAAGAGAAAGAGAAAGGGAAAGTGAGAAAGCAAGCTACCAGGTTCGAGACTCAAACCGCAGTCGGCCATGTAGGAGTCCAGCGCCCTTAACCTTCATGCCACCTGCTGGCCCTGTCCCTATGTAATTTTCTAAGTTAAAAATATTTTTTGGTATTTGTTTTTGAGAGAGAAAGAGAGATACCCACAGGGTATGCACACCACTGTCCACCCTGAGCCTCAGCTAGTCTGGGTTCCAGGCACACACTTGCACCCACTGCGGTCAGGCAGTTCTCTGATGTGAACTCAGGACCTTTCCTATGTGGGTCCCCTTGTGTTACCACCATGTCACCACCTGGCCCATTTTATTTTATTTTAACGTCATCTTCCAGAAAGCTCTGCTTCAACTCATAGAAGACTATGCTGTGATGGGAATGTCGAGTCAAGTCTCCTGGCCTTCATTGAGATACCATTTGTTGCCAGTGGATATTCCACTCCATCTCTTGGTGCACCCAACTTTGTAAGCCAAAGTCCAAGTCTACATATCTTGTATTCCTCACAGCTCCCGTGGTGCTTGTCAACATGCAGAAGTTTCTGCCTTAGAACGCTAGGATCTCTGGAACCCACTTCATATGGAGACTTGGCCACCCAGCGTCTGCTCCTTCCCGCTGCAGTTGAGAATGTGGTCCCTCCATCAAGAGCGTGCTCTAGCGTCAGCAATGCTAAGGGTGAGCAAGAGCTTCCTTCCTGTTCCGCTAAAACCTGCCTATTTTCGCTTCCTCCTGCAGATGGCTGTGCTGCTTTTCCATCACACAGAATAATGCTGTTCACCCTGACATATCAAGGGCCTTGTTTTGGATTCAGGGCTCCTGTTCCCTCCTCAGGCTTGCTCAGGTATTTCTCACATGTTGCAGTGAGTGGACCACCACCCAAGTGCAGCCTTGAGTTAAGAACTTAATTTTGGTGAACACTGGTAGGATTAGGCATGCAAGTTAGAAAACTGTGTGAGCTTTCTTGAAGTCTCATAATTCGACTTACACTACGCACGTGGGGGCTGGTGGCTGTGAATGTACACATAGGAGAGGTGCGGTCTAGGCTGCCCAAGCCAAACTCAAGGTCACTCTTTCACCAGGAAGTCGGAGGCTCTGAGCCCGGCCTCCCCGGCTGATGGCCCCCTTGGCTCAGCCCCTGTGGTCCATGGCTATCTCACTTGTTTCATTCTGTTTGCTCTTCACATTCCCACTGGGGAGTATTTCACAAACTCAGCCTCAGTAAGAAGGAAGCGTGGACTAGTTTAACTCTTTGATGGATACACAAAACACTTGGTGCTCACTTTTACCTTTCAAGAGAATTAAATAAATCAAATGATATTCCCATCATGACTCAGAGCTGCTACATGGAGCAGCCAGGCCAGCCCTATAACCTAGTAGTTGAGGGAGCCAGATTCCACGTAGTCAACCCTGATTTGAATCCCAGACCTAGAGGCTTGAAAAACACACCAGGTGCATCTGTGCATGCCCCAAGTCCTGGCAGGATGGAGAAATAGAGGAGAAGGGATTTCGATGGACACTGTCCATTGAGAAGTGCTTGTTCCCTCCCCATCTCTCTGCCTCTCTCTGGTGAGCACATGTACCATTTGGTAATTAAATGAAAAAGAAATGTAAGTATTAGTTTGGGAATCAAAGAAATTAAACTTCCCCATTTTGTCTCACTATATCCTTTTATCATAAAACTGTGAAAAAATATAAAATGCCTACTTTTCTCTACAAGGAGTTCCCTTTGTGTGTGTGTGTGTGTGTGTGTGTGTGTGTGTGTGTGTGTGTGAATGTTTCTCAGTTTATGACATGAGAAGAGCTTAGGGTGAAAGATAGGGAAGAAAATGAAATCTGCTCTAGAGTCAAGTGTTTGTAACCTGACCTAGGAAACTTCTCGGTTGGAATCAATGATACACTTAAAGGTTTAGCTTGTTTATTTTATCCTGCCAATGACCATCTGGTATCTGAATATTGCTTCTTATTTGGATATGGGGGAAAAAATCTCTTTCTCTAACCAGCAAAATAAACAACTGAGTCATCTCCCACCTCTTACTCCAATTCATGAAAACACTGGTATTTCTATCACCTGGTGTCTTTGATCACGGCGTCGTCAGCCGAATGGTGCCGCTCCCTTTGTGCCCCTGACCTGTTTCGGGACATCTCACTTCCAAAAGAGACGGCAGATCAGTGCGGATGATCATAAACACGAGTCATGAGAGTGTGGGAAGAGCAGGTGCAGAATCCGTGGTGTTGCTTAAAAGCAATTTAATTTCATGATTCGAAGACTACAATTTTCTTAAAAGTTCAGGAGAAGGTAAGAGGTTTGCAGCACTGGGAACTGCAGAATGCATAAATTAGCAGGAGCACACACAGACAGGGCCATTGTGAATGCATGATAATCTGCATTTCAGCATTTATAGTTGCCTTGCATAAATGAGGGGCAATTTCAATTCTGCCTTCCCTGCAAGAAAGGCTGACATGTTTTGGCATCTTCATTCAAAATGGTGCACGCGGTATTCAACAGGACTTTTTCACAGCCTATTTGTTAATCTAGCATAATGAGAATCTACGATGCAGAGGAAGTTTCGGGCTTTGTAGCTGGGTACAGAGTGCAGTGAAACTGAGAGTACATTTTCCTGGCACCAAGCTTGAATTATGATTTCCATAATAGGCTGCAGTTCTCTGCAAAATGCTTCCTATTTGTTGAAAGTAAATGTTAAATTGTTAAAAGTGTATTTCTCTGCATTCCTCAAATTATTATTTTATGGCAAGAAATGAAATATGGATTGGAGTCATAAAAGCCTGTATATTAAACATCAATTCAAGACTGTTCACTGCGGCAAAGTGAATCGACGAGTGGCCACGATCTAGACTCAGCTTCCCCCAAGTTGTGACACCCTGTCGGTGGTGGAGCCCAAGGTCACAGCACTGGTCCACACGTGATGCCGACCCTGGTTCAGCGGTCTGTGCGCCAAAGTGATAGCCCTGCCCTATGACCATATAGGCAGTCTATGTGACGGTGGAAGCAGGTGAGTTTGTGCATGTGTGTGCACCTGCGTGTGAATGCTGGGATGAAAACCTGTGATTCAAAGTTTAATTCAGCTCTAATCTCCGTAGCACCCCCATGATGCTCCTGATCTCTCTAGGGGGCGAGCTGCATCTGCTCCTGTCACTAGTCCGAACCCTAGAACACACATCCCAGCTGTACATGCACGCACTGGTGAATGTGGAGGGGGCTTTGGCGAACTGCGTCAAGCTTGGGGAGGGAGTGACTGGGTTCCTAGGACAGCTCCAGGGCACAGTGGAGAGGTAATGGTGGAGATAATCCAGGTAAGCCCTTCAGGCACAGGGCTCATTTAGGCCTCTTGAAGCTGGACAGGGCCATGGGCAAGTTAATAACATAAAGAAGATAAATGAATAATAATAATGTTTAAGAAGGCATACACATTGATATATGTAGAATTTGTGAGAAAATTTGTTTTAATTATGTATGGATTTTAAATTTTTTTCTAAGAACTATATGTAACAGTTTGACTAAGTATGATGTCAGAGATAGTTAGGTTGCCTAAGTTGAACATGGGATTTGAGCTAATTAGGGAAGGACCAAAGCTTTGGGAGACCACAGGGCAGAGACCAGAAGGAAGGGGAGATGGTGAGGGCTGGGCAAAGGCCTTACCTTCAGAAATCAAGGAAGGGCAGGAGGAGGCATGTACAAGGTGATACTGAAATTAAGATCTAGGAAAAAGAACGGGAGAGTCCTGTGTTTTTTCCCAGGGGCACCTGGCCGTGCAGGTGGTAGCTGTCACCCACCCATGCACCAGCAAGGGTAACATGAGCTATCCTCACCCGTCACCCATGAGGCATTTAGATCTTTGTTCTGCTTGTTTGTTTCCATTGCTTGGCATCTAGGGATGATCCGCAATAGGCTGAATTGTGTATGTCTGCCAGTGTGGGGACATCACGGGATTCCAGAGCCTTCTGTGCTGACCACAGGCCAAAATGTGTTTGACAGGCAAGTGACTGCATTTGCTACTGTGGGTCAGAAAGTCACTCTTGTTAGAGGACACTGGGGCTTTGATTCCGCTGATGTCAATAAATCATGAAAAACATTTCTCCTCCTCCTCTTCTTTTAAGGTAAACAGACATCATGAGACCTTAGAATCTTTGCTGCCCATTGTTTTCTTCTTCTCTGATCAATTATTTTGATCTTAAATAATTTTGACCAGCCTCAGGCCTTGATGACTATAGTCAGGAGAAGTTGGGATTTTTCACTGGTGTCTCTTCAGCTGCTTTCCTTTTATGGACTGGTTGCCATGGGTAAAGAAAACTTCTGTGTTGACTCAAGTCTGGAGACAGGAACTTGATTCTGAGGGTGAGGAGAGGGTAGATGCCCCAGTACATCTCATTGGCCAGGTTCACGGTCAAGTTGAAAAGGACACAGGCCTTGACAGATTGCTGAGGAGTGGCCTATCAGTACCAAGGCCACCTGCAGGTGGGCCACCTCCCTGGAACACCCAATCAGATGAATTCCTGAACAAAGCAAGGTTCGGTTAGAAACCAAGAATGGGGAGAATGGTAACCGGATGTAGGGTTAAGAGGCAAAGGTGTCTACCACGAGCTGTTTGTTGTCATCTGCGGTATTTTTAGAGTATGGGGTTTCAATTCTTTTTAGGCAGAGCTCTCTTGTTGTCATTTATGGTTTCTAGTTCCAGGGTTTGAGAGCTTTCTTGATGCATAGGATCCCCAAGTAGTTCCCTATGTTTTGTTTTAATGCTTCCAGGGTTTAGACTGTCGTGTTTAGATCCTGAGTGCATTTAGAGATGGGAAGAGATGGAGACCTGCATCCTTAAGGATTGGTTAGATGATAGCCATGTAGTCAGGGTCCTGGAAACTGGTGGGGACAGTGGACATGGGACCATTCCCAGCCGACGCTCTGCTTTAACAATGGCTGTAGCTATGGAGAGGGCAGTGGCAGAAGGTGACGGGGACAGTGACCTGGGAGGGATGTATTTGCTGGCAGAACAACGATGCTGAGCGGGGAGAAAGTGGAGAAGAAAGGCCTCAACTTGCTTCTCCTCCTAGTCCCAAACTTGTCAATGACTCCCCTGGCTAAAACCAGTCAAAGTGACCATGATGTTTCAGCCCAGGAATTAACCCTGAGAGTCAGGGAATTAAATCCTGGACAAAGCTGGGCAGAGAAGGGGTGTGCAGGGAGCAGAAGGGATGCAGAGTGAGTAGATGATGGATAGATAGGTAGATGGACAGATAGATATGCATACACATCCTTATTCTGTTCCTCAGGAGAACTCTGGATAACTTGGATTCTCACTTAAAAAATAACAGTAACCTGAGATTTCTGTTGCTGAGAACTGATATTAAAATAATTATTTTCCTTTCTTTTAACATAGTTTGGGTCCACTCACCCTACTTAATACAAAAGGTCTTTACATGCTGAGTAAATATGTTGATAGCATCTAGTTTGAAAACATGCACCTGTAGCCAAGTCTGTGTTATAACAGGAAGGCAGAAAGCCCTGCTAGGCTGGAAGTCAAATGGTGACCAACGGTTTGGATCCCCAGGTTGGTCTGAAAACATGCAGGGTGTGTGCAAGGATATATAGGGTCCTGATCAGGTAGAGGGCTGGACAAAGAAATAGTATCATGACAAAACCCTGTCAGGGGTCTTCTCTCTTTTTCCCTTCTTGATCTCTTTTGTCCCTCTCACTAGCCTGTGTGTGAACTCGCATGTGCTCATACTTCCTCTCTATCACAGTAAGAAAAAGTGTGCATTGGTGAATGACTATGTATGGCTTAGAGCAAAAGATTCAGAGATAAGAATGAATGAGTGCTGACTTTCATCAAAACCAAGACAAAATCTTAATGATCATAACTTTTTCTCTATTTTTTTCTTCTCTCTTTTTTCAGATTTTTACCATAGGGTGCATGTGCTCGCTGGAGAGGAGAGTGAGAGACATAACAGAGAAGGAAAGTGAGAAATTACCTGCTAGCATTGATAGCTACACTGTAGTCCCTTCTCTTTCATTCTCATCCTGGGATTTTGAGTATGCATACACATAGACCTGGTGTGAGTTTCAAGTCTGGGACTCAAACCATGGTCAGTCATATGGGAGTCCAGCACCTTAACCACTATGCCACTTGCTGGCCCCCCCACCCCCAATTTTTTTCTTTTTAAATTCATAGCTAACTGTTATTTAAAATATTTAACTTTTAACGTAGACATTAATAGTATTAACCTAATAAGTTGTGTTTGATTTGGAAAAGTCTACTTAGAACCATTTTGGAATTTAATCCCTGGGAGGGGATTAAAAGTAATTTCAAAAGCCAACACCTCTTTTCTGTATGAAGTGATTATTCAACTAACTTTAAGTTAGTGGGTTAGAATTATTTTTAAAAAGTGAATAATTCATACATGTAATAATTTTCATCCCTCTTTCCTGAGGATACTAAGATTTAATAGAATGATGCTGTTCCATACTTAACTTTGGTCAAGAATGACATATGCTGGGCCCAGAATATTTACTGATAGAGTAGGGTTGACTAGAAGATGTTTTGCAATGACACTTTTGCAGTCCTTTTGCAGTCATAGGAGAGCTGCTGAAAAAAATGCCAGACTGAAACCCATGGCAATCTCAGGCAATAATACCAAATCCCAAAACTAACAAAGCAAGCAATGATAAAAAGCTAGGCTACAGAATGAGAGAGAATCTTCTCTTTGTGTACATAAACAAGATTTTAAGAGAGCCTTTATATAGAATAAATATTATTGCTGGATTACTTGTCTGATTTCCAGGCATAGCCAAATAGACTTTAAATAAACAAACAAAAAAATATTGTGGGGTGAATGATACAAGCTGGTTCAGCCCAGATAAGACCAAACATCACTCAATGTAAAATACATCAACAGGTGAAAGAACCCTTAAGTATTTGTTTAATGAAAAATAAATTGTGGTACATATACACTATGGAATATTACTCAGTCATAAGAAATAATGAGACCCTATCATTTGATTCAAAGCGGATGCATATAGAGGACTTAATGTCAAGTGAAGTGATTCAAACTTCAAAAGATACACACTGTATATCCCCACTCAATATTACTGAATGTCTGCACTCTGTGGCAGAAATGGAAAGATCCAAAGATAAGTTAATAGAAAAGATAGTGGAGGGGAGTGGATGATAGAAAGCAGGTGGTGGAAGGTGGGTGGGAAGGGCAAAGGGAAGAAACATTTAAAACACAAAGAATGCATATCCTTCTGTGGAAAAAGTGTTCTGTAATTTTTGCTTTATAAAAATAAAAATTTTAAAAATCATGTGCATCTTATGTATAACAGTCATAATTATGATGCAGAAGGTATACTTAGATTTGATTGGGTCTCATTAAAGTCTTGCAAGTTAAGGGTAAGAAATGATGAACAGTTGCCCTAAAATACTACCATTAGAAATATAAATAGACAGAATGGGAGAGTGGGGAAAAAGGCAGTCTAATATTTTGCACAGCAATAGTAATAGGTGGGATTACATCAGATTAAGAAGTTTCTGCACAGAAACAAACACCATAATTAGTGTGAATCAACAACCCTCAAAATGGGAGAGAATTTTTGTTGACTGTGCCTCAGATTGATAACCAGAATACACAGGGAACTCAAGTGGCTTACCTAGAAGAAAATGATTAACCCAATTAAAAGATGGGAAAATGAGCTAAATAAATAACCCTCCAAGGAAGACATATGAACAGCCAAAAATCATATGAAAAAATGCTCAACATCCCTCATTGTAAAGGAGATGCATATCAAAACCACAATGAGATACCACCTAACCTCAGTCAGAATGGTGAAGATTAAAAACAAATAATGATAAGTGTTGGAGGGAATGTGGTGAGAGGGGAACTCTCCTACACTGTTGGTGGGAATGTAGATTGGTCTAGACACTGTGGACAACAATGTGGAGGTTCCTCAAAGACCTTCAAATAGAACTACCATATGATCCAGCAATTCCACTCTTGGGTATCTACCCAGAGGACAGGAAAATGCTCAGTCAGAAAAGCACTTGCACAACCATATTCATTGCAGAATTATCCACAATTGGTAAGACATGGGACCAACTCGAATGTCCACAAACAGATGAATGAATAGAAAAATCATGCCACATATACTCCATGGAATATTATTCAGCCATAAAAAACTATAAGACCCTGGCATTTGATAGAAAGTGGACGAATATGAAAGGTTGGTTGCTGAGTGAAGCAAGTCAGGCTATGAAAGAGAGACAGTGTATGTCTCCACTTAACATATACCAACTGTCTGCACTCTATGGTAGAGACTGAGAAACTGGAGAACATAAAAGCATTAAAATTGTAATGGACACTTTGTAGACACAAAGTGGAAAGAGAGTATGGAAGGAAAAGAACATAGGAAAGAAAAAATTGGGGAAAAAATAGGTAAGACAATTGTGGGACACAGGTAAATTTTATTATCTGTTGATGAGGATGTGTATAGTATTCTCAACTGGGCTGGACTGAGGTGTACATCACGCTTGGTAAAGTCTCTTTATAATATAAATGATGTACAGCAATTGAATATGTGAATAATAATACTAATAATTAAAAACAAAAGTTCTCTGAGCTCTTCTTGTCACAGAAAAGCTGCTGAAAAGGACATACTTCCTTGGGCCAGGCAGGTAGTGTGTGGAGGAAGCTAAGATAAATAAAGCAGGAGCTCAGCTAGTGTGGAGCTTGTCCCCAAAGAGAGCTAGCTGCCAGGGAAACCATCTAAGCCCCATCGGTCCTCCCAGCTCCTGCCTGTGCCCAAAGCCCAGGAATGACCTGAACGCGG